TGAAAGTTTCGACGTGGTCCGGGAACGATCTGTAAACTGAGTCGTGAAGAGAAAATAGCAATTTGAAGTAGGTAGCCGCTTCGTGTTCCACGGAAGAGCTCCGAGGCTCGAGAGTATTCGAATGCAGCCTCGATACGTCGACCGAACGGATTTTTCGATTTAAAAAGCGAGAACCAGTCGATAATTCAGGGGGACTCGGTCACAAAAGGAGGTCTTTATTGAAAGGGAGGTGGAAAAGCGGCGTGCGTGCAATTAATCACTCTCTTTTTCTCGTTCATTCTCCACGCTTCTCGATCAGGGCACCATCGATATTCTTTAAAATTATGCCCGTGCCCTTTCGACCGATCGACGTTCGTCCCCTCTTTTCAGGATAAAAATGCAAAATACGGCGAAATATTTAATACGATGCCATAAGACGAGAAAGCGTGCGTGTGCTATTAAAAGCAAAGTTATCCATCAGTCGCGTTACAGATTTAAAATGTGATATGGAATTACGAGCCTCGTGTCTCGAACGAGGACGATAAAGAATACCATTGAGGAAAATGTCGCTTAGAGACGGAAGCGTGGAACGTCCCTCAATTGCGACAGTGTGATCCATCGAACATCTTCAATTTGAGAAACAATCGGACGAAACGAGCTCAAAGAAACGATTTCGCGCCAAGTTGTTCCCCTGATTACGACGTCGAAACAAAGGGAAATAAAGGAAGTGCGCAATCTGGTTCAGAGCCCGGGGAGTTGCAAATTCTTGTATAAATACGTCTCGGCGCGCTATAAAATCAACGCGCGCACCCCTTGGCACGCTCCACTTCTCCACTTTTGGGGGATGACTCGGGGTGCGGCCTTGGCGAAAATCTGAGCCACCATCGAGTTAAACTTTCCGTACAACTGTCGTTTCGAAACTGCCTCCACGTGTGGACCAAGTCGATTGGCCACGCGATATCGAACTCCCGACAGTGAATTTCCACCCTGCAACGAGAAATTTACGCGGTGCTTCCATAATTCACGATTTTTCGCGACGTGCCTCCCCCCGCCAAGTGACGAGACATTCGTTGATCGCGACGTCTAAATCCGATTCTCCATCGCAAATAATTAAACCAAGTAGATGTAGATTTATATTCTTCGTTTGCGTAAAATTTCTTTGTTTTCAACTTTGATCGGTGAACGCGAAAAACGTCGATAATATTTTCTATTATTCGTTCTCTTTTTCCGGTGTGAGGAGACAGAGAGTTATGGAGAACGATTCATCAGAATTTGCGAGTTTCAAGGTATTTGCGCGTCTCGACCTAAATATATTTCTCTATCCGCGAGAAGTTAATTTGCATTTGTTTTAGACAGCGAGGGCGCATTAACTTCAAATGTTGCATACGAACACGATAGTGCTTGAAGAGATTTGGGGGATTATTACAGAGTAAAATAGTCCTCGCGATTACTGTGTTCGCGTAGGATTTTCGCGCGTATTAAACCAGGCAAACTAACCTTTTGTTCAACAGAGCACGTAATTCGAGATGTTGAAAAGTATAGAAATTTTGGAAACTAAGTGTTGCGCGACTGTCGATGGCCAGGATTTAAATAACTGGGTCGTATTTCAGCGAGACGAGGTGAAATTTATCTGAAAATAGCTTGATCTAAACTTCGAAATTAAACTAGTTTCATTGCTCTCCGTATAAACGGGATAAACGAATGAAATGATAGCAAGTTGTAAATCTTATACACGTAACTCCCGCTTGTCTTCCTCCTTTCAAATTATAGACACCAACTCCCCGAAAAGTCACTCTAATTAACTAACAAGCTAGTTGCATCTCGAACCTTGTTAGTTTCCTATTTACTCTCCAGACAAGTATACCAAAGTGCATCAAGTTCAATAACGACTTATTCATTAAGCTGAGCTACTTTGTGCAAACTCCATGACAGATGATAATGCCAGAGAGGTTGAGATCAATAATATAAACAATGGGGCATAACTTGGTAGCTGTATCTACAACGGAAACATTGATTTCTTTAGTGCCATCGTATTGTATTCGCAAATTAAGAAACTTTAATGAAACTCCTTGCACTCGTTAATTAATATTTATTTCGTTCGAAGAAGTTTCTAAACATTATTCGCTATGCAACGATATCGGGAAAATATAAAAGTACCGTTGCAAGGATCTGTGTTTACCAAGTACAATAGACACAGATGAACGAGCGGATTTGCAAGCTCGATGTTTTAATTACTTTTCGACGGAACGCATCGCAAACCACGATATCGATGCATTTCTTACAAACGTTACAGTTGTCGAGCTGCTGCTGGCAAGGAATTTAATTGCCCGCGGCATCGTAAATTAATGATCGACAGATTTGACACGATCTTTCTGAAAAATACTCAGAACTGATCTCGTAGATGTCCGATAATACGGATAATCAATGTTAGAATATTAATGACAGTGTCCCTATTTTATCGAAATTTTATCTTGAATCTGTTACATCTGTCATCGAATATTATTAATCGTGGTAGGTTGAAGTATCAATTTTTGCTAGCTATTACGTCGATCAATAACACTGTCTTTTCCGAAGACAAAACCATCCAGTATCAATATTAGAATGATGTTTAATGTTGACAGGGCGGTAAAATATTACACCCACATTCCATCTCCTTAAATAATTCTTTCTTCCGCGAACTAATTATTTTTTTCCCAGGTACTAGTTACTTTTTCTTTGAGGTACTAATTATTTCTCTTTCTTCAGATTTTATTTCTTTCATTCTGTTTTCCGTTGTTTGAGCATTCGAGTATTTCGTAGAATATTCGACTCTTTCGTCGTTGGGTTGTTAATTTTTATTTTCACGTCTAATTTATTTTCTTTTCCAGATTTTATTTCTTTCATTCTATTTTTCATTGTTTGAGTATTCGAGTATTTCGAAGAATATTCGAATGCTTCGTCGTTGGTTTATTTATGTCTCATCGTTGGCTAGATCAATGGCTATTCAGTAGCCATTCTCCACTTTCTTCAATAATTTAACAATAATTTCTTCTTTCAGATACTAATTATTTTTTCTTTTAGATTCTAAGTATTTTTCTTCTTTCAGATTTTATTTCTTTCATTCTATTTTTCATTGTTTGAGTATTCGAGTATCTCGTACGATATTCGAATGCTTCGTCGTTGGTTTATTTATGTCTCATCGTTGGTTAAATCTTTCCATTCACAGATTTTACGTCTTCCATTCGATTTAGTTTTCGTTAGAGCGTTTGAGTATTTCGCATAATACTCGAGCGCTTCCTCGTTGGTTTGTTTATATCTCACCTTTGGGATGTTTCTGTCTCGTAGTTAAGTTGCTCAGGTCTCGTCGTTGGCTTGCTCGTTTCACTTGGTTATTAACCTTCATGGTTTCCGTTCCTTTCGCTTTCGTTTTCTTTCCTCGTACTAATCCGTTTCCTTTCAGGTACATATTAACAATAATATATTCTATTTCAGCTTTTAGGTTTCTCAAGATTATAATTCGCGTTGAACAGTATAATGTATGAAGTCCCAAAAATAATGGTTACCATGTTGCGTAGAAACTTTGGCAATCGATATCGCAAAACTTTGGTATTCGAAATGTTGTTAAATTATCTTACAAAAGAGCTCAAGGCATTAAACTTAATGGTAAAACTTTAGGCATTTGGTTCAGGACACACGGGATATGATAAAGGTGAATCTAAACTTGTGTGACTAACATCCACAGACAAGTACAGCACGATTTACTTGCTCGAAACTTGCGGAACTCGATACTAGTAACGTTAGATTTGTGAAACTCGATGCACCGGTTCGAACTGCATGGAATCGGTTGATCAATTACACGTACAGTATTGTCCAAATATCACAATTGCAAATTTGGATTAGAATATTGGAATGAAAGATACTCGAATACAAAACCTTGTTGCATTACTTTAAAAGTCTAGATTAATCGAATATAATTTAGACAAAAATCCAAGGATTTAAGAATCCAATAATGCAGTTTGAAGGTTTTAGAGATTTATCGGTTCAAAGATTCAATAATCCCTGAAACTCAAAGATTTCGAAAGATTCGAAGAATTCGAGCCGTCCAATCTCCCTAAATTTCAGACAGTCTTGGAATTCTGAAGATTCTAGGTTCGAGGTAGATTAGTTTGTTTCTCAGGTGTATTTTTTAGCTGTCTCGTAAACTTTTGACAAAGTATTTTTGGTGTCTTGTGCATCTAATTCAGTTGCATACAGTTGAGAATTCCACGCTCCCATATCGCGTGCCTCTTACTCGAGGATATTTATTAACTTTATGAAATAGATTCGCAATATGTGACCTCGAGTTATGAAATTGCATTTTTCATACAACATCGTTCGTATCTGTCCCGATATGATAAAGATTTCCAATATCACGGTTATCTAAAGCAAGATTATCATCGCATGCGTGTATCGTACTATACGTTATAGATGTTCCAGTGTCCTAATTTCTTCCATATCGTATTCATAAATACCCTAAGCCAAGAATGTGACCGATGCATTCTGAATCCCGTTTCGTTGTAAATGTCGCAAGTATCATTCTTTGCTGCTTATAATGCTGTATACGTATCGTGCACCTGCCTATGGCAGTGTAAAATGATCTTCATATTTAGATAGCTGATATAAATTCGTCCTCGTTTTAGCATATTTCATCGCCTACAGTTATACGGATAGTTTATGAGAATATAAAATGCAAAATAAATGCTATTTTATTACATCTAGGATCCAACAAACGATAAATTCAAGATAATAAATTGCAATTACGTTAATCCATCAGCAATCGTCTAATTAATATCGTATTTGGTTAATTCGTTATATCTATGATCTCTCGAAATCGGGCTATTTCTAAATGTCTTTCTGATTAATAGATGCCGAGAATTATTTAACATATCGACGTTAGTTACGATTGTTGGCATTTATCCTCGATTATTGATATTATTTTTAACGTTACTCGACGCTAGACTATTTGGTAGAAATTTTTCGGATTAATAGAAGCAGTGCATTACCTAGAACAGTGATGTTAGTGACGAGCATTCTCGGGGGGTGCGTGTTCACTTGACAGACGTACAATCCACGATCCTCCCTGCGCACCCCGGCGATCACCAATCTCCAGTTGTTTGGGTATTGGAAGCTAACGCTGTACCTGGGATCGGAAATGTGAGTAGTATTACCCAGGGTTAAAAGGGATGCCCAGTCGGCGTTGCGACGTAACCACATGACCTATAATTGTGACACAGATTCTACAGTTGCATGTGACTCGGCGTGAGAACATGTTCGATTAGGACACGAGGGGTTAAATCAGGGTACATCATGGAACACTGATCGTGCCCAGTCGTGTTACGTATTTAGAAGATTCTCTGACAGCCGATGCGTTTGATGCGTTTATGCCGTGTCAAGCGATTGTGCCAAATTTAATTGGCAAACAGCTCGTGAACTAGTTTACGAGTAATTTGCATTACTCATTAACTCGCGCACGATCAATCTTGTTAAATAAATCATTTTAAAAGCAGCGATCAACTTATCTCGATTGTAATGCCAGTACTTCTATTTAGAATTCGATTGATTTTCTTACGACTCTTACACGTTAAAAATTTCACCACTCGTCGGTTCGATAATTTCGGTACCATTCTATTCGCGATCTTTCAATTTCATAGTCAGAGCCTGTAAAAATACTCACGTTATTTGCAAAATGATTCTATAAACTGTAAGCAACGATTAATACAAGGGAAAATTGTACGGCATCGTCGTTGTTTCTTATTTGTAATCTTTACGATGTGAAAATAGATACAAATACCTTATTTCCAGAGAGCATTGCAACACGACAATCGAGAAGAGCGACCACTGATACCCTGACCTTCCGCATTTTCGAAGTAAGGATACCAATCTGTTACTTGATGGTGCCTCAAGCGAGGAATTTGAAGCGGTGGCAGATTAAGAATTATTTCCTCTGGAAAAAATTCACAAAAATACCTAATGAATTTCTATTGATTTTACTTACATAAATTATTAACGAATAACATTTCTTTTATTTTTTTATTTTCATTCCCCGAAATTCTGATAAAATCAATTCGCAAGTAGAACAGATATTTAAATATCGTTCTAGATATTCAAAAAAGGAAACGTGTTATATCAGTTCGTTAATATGTAGCAACAAATCATTAGCAATCATCGTGATAATGAATAATTGAAATAACTACGTAATGCGTTTCAGCCTGCGAATTATATAGGCAAAGCACGTTCTATTTAGATAATCCAGTGACCCAGTCGCTTTCATTTTTTACACGATGAGAAACACGATGCAGCTACACCTAATTTATTTCCCTTAGTTTCATTTAAATGGACTTGGCATAAATCTGCAAAGTATACCGATTACATCTTCCTAATGAAGGAAGAGATCGTTACATCGTTCACGACTCGGGTTACAAAATGGAAGTAAAATAAAATCTCGATTCTAATTCCTCTGGAGGTACAATTTCGCCAAGATTTTCTCGTAAGCTGCAGACATCCGTCTTGCATGGCGGCGTTGTAATAGGATTTTTACGGACGCGTCAAGATTGTATAGGGAAAGCGCGAAAAATGCGAGCACGACGTTCAAGTAAATTGCTCTCTCATTCCATGAATCATTCCGCGATCGTTGATTTATCAGCTCCACCGTCCTTTGCTAACAACGTTATTTGCTATGGCGTAAATCACGAAAACGCTTTATTAAAGCGTTATTAAAATATACCGCCTTTGATTTATGATGGCGAGAAAAGTTTTTCGCCAAACTATAGATCAATCTGTGTACAAATCGACACGTACGACATTTCAAAGTTTTCCTATGGCACGAAAGTTAATCGCTAACGCAGCTTGTCAACGTCCTTCGCTTTACACGCGAAACAATTACATTACTAATTTACGTTGCGTGCTCATTTGTATTAATTTCGTGTCAGAACAGTGTTGTTTAATGCATCGATTTAACGTAAGAAAAACACGTTACTCGTGGATTTTATTTATCGCGAAAATAAACATCTATCGATAAATATACGAAGCTCGTTAATTAATTAGCAACGCTCGTGTTTGATAAATAAATATTTGTCAAAGCGTCGTTCTTATTACACATTTTATGATTATTAATTAAAAGAAAATTTTTACAAGTTCCTGGCCGATTGCTAATTAACGACCTACAACAAATTATGAACAATTTATACGCGTATATTACGATAATTAAAAAAATGTATCGAATAATATACATATATCGAGTCAACCTCTGCACTGAGAATTCAATTTATTTTCTATTCATATCATATATCAACATATATTAATAATTTACTAATAATACGAATTTAATTAATTTTCCTGTTTTGTGAAAAAAAAAAAAAAAAACTTGCAACGAAAAATACTTTATTTTCGAGGATTAAACATTTCACGATTCTTCATACAAGTTGTGAAAAATAAAGAAATTCGCTTTATCGAAATTTGATTATTCGAGCGATATGCCGGGTAAATTTACACCTGGAGCATTTAAACGTTTTGGAAAGGAATAAAAACGAATGATTCGATTACCAAGCACAACTGCTGTCGAGTAAATACTTCGTGGGGTAGTCGAGGATGCGGAAAAGTCAAATTCTTGGAGCGCTCGAGATTGTTCGCTGAACGGTTCGATGAGATTTACTCACAGACCCGGAGAAATATCACAGTTTGCGGTTTCTGGAACGCGAAGAATTTATCGATACAGGCACTAATTTTCTGCATAATTCCCGTTCATTTTGCCCAAGTATATACCAATACGTTTCCATTAAAACATATTGATCCTCAATTTTTCACAAGTTACACGAGAGCGTTTCATTTGTTCTTGGCCAATAAGCGAAATGATATTACGAATTCTCCGTAAATATAATTTAGCATGCAAGCATTAAATTACACGTTGTACGGGTATAATTTAATTCATCGAGAATAACTTTTCCTATCAACGGATTTACGGATGTCGTCGTGTTTCGATTATCTTTCATTTATTTCCAAATTCATAAACTCTTTATTCGCGAATCGATAAATTACTACCAAAATTAAATTCACTTATGTCCTTACCGCGTCATATTTGTACGAATTTCATATTTATTTAATACGGATATTTAGTAAATTTATAATATTTAATCAATTTCATAATCTCGTATCACTCTATCGCTTTATAAACATCTCACCGATCAATATATAATAACAGATCTCGCAATTACACGATTAAATATACCTAATACAGTGTTTATATAGTAGAAACAATTTCTCGCTCCCATTAAATCGCCATCAAATCAACCTACATTACGGTGTATCGATTAAATCCCTTTTAAGAATTTAGTCAAGCCGATCTTCGCGCTCCTCGGGACTTTCTTCATCCCTTCGTCGCTCGACTGCATCGGATTCCCCGTTCCTTCAATCAGCGACAAAACACCTTTGTGGCGAAGATCGAATCAATGGGTCGACCAATAGAGATTCGACGTCGACAGACGACGACGTTCCCCGCGAGGATTTTTCCTACTCGGAGTATTCAGATACGATCGCTTTACACTCGATGCAAAACAGGCTTCGTTTAAAACGCGGCAAAGCATCGAGGCCTGGAAATCGCAGAACAATCGGGACGGGCGCGTTCGTAAGACGAAACGATAGCGAGGCTGGCGAAATTTGGCCAAGTGCAAAAAGAAGCAAAGTAAAGAAGATGGCAAAGAAGGAGCTCGAGAGAGCAAAGAAAATGAAGCGTGGAGAGTGGAAGAAAAGAGAAAACACAGAAATCGTTTCTCGTCTGTGCCAGTTTCCCTTCTCTTTTTGTTAATTATTTAATAATACGGTAATATTCCGAAGTATAATACTCGTGCCGTGAATTCGAGAAATGGTAAAAGCACAAAGGGGGATGGGAGATTGAAAGTAACCAGGTATGGAATACAGGGAGCGTAGAAGGTCGCAGAAATCGCAGAACCACTGATCTGATCCGCGTTTCGCCACTTAACCTTCCAACCTCTCACGCAGACCACTTTCGCGTGGATTTAACCTCCAACTCAATTTTTATGCTCCGTGTCCGGGAGAAACGGGAAATGCAATTATGTCACTGTGAATGGACCAAAAGATGTTGCGAAAGTCGATATAACACGGAAGTCGAAATTCCACGGTTTCTGGAAGAAAAGAAAAGGTTCCTTTTCTTGGAAACGACGAAAAAGTATTTGTCGATGAAACGATTACGGAAATTCGTAATTTGCTATTCGCTAATTTGCTCGTTCGTTTTCTCTCGCGGATCGCTACTCCTTTGAGACCTTGTGTACAATAGAGTTCGCAAAATAAAGACACAAATATTTACGAATGTTAAAAGAATATTCGAGAAATAAAGATGTGAAAGGGGATCGAAGGAAAGCTGCGAAGATTTTCCAACAACGACGCGTATTGTTGTCTCGTTAATTAACATTCATGGCACAGGTTGCGCGACGCTTTCGTCAAACTTCTCCCTTCGCTGCTGAATTTCCTGATATACGCGAGAAATACGGCTTTGACCTGATCATAAAATGTCAAAGTGTCAGCACTTATGTAAATTACTTAGCATAGCTGTGTCGTACGTGATTTCACTTATAGTTTTCCAGCCAAAGTTTCCCCTGGATAAGGGACATTTATGAGCTGCGTCTTCGAGTCACTGGGAGGATGATTGAATAAAGACTAAGACACTAGCTTCTCTAGATCTAAGAGACAAGAACACTGACAATTTACATAATTCGCAGTAACGTAAAATTTATGGAAAAAATTTCACGAAATGTGCGATACTCTCTAATCGAAATAGAGAAAGCGACATGAACGAGATAATTTTCGTGAAGCATTTAAATCATACTAATACGTCCTGAATTATTAACGAAACTTTGCAAGAGAGGCAAAACTTATCTGAGAAACTAGTAAATGAGAGAACTATAACTGCACGTGACACATCATCAGTTCTACAACTGCGAGCTGGCATAACCAAAAGCATAAAATTCTTAACCGGTGCTTTCTGCTGCTTACACGGTTTAGCGATCAACAGGGCCTTGCCTGAAACGTAGTTAAATGTTGAGCGCGAAAATGCAGGGCTTTCATTCGCATGGCTACCGACGTCATGAAGAACCAGTAATTAAACTTTGCGAAAGTTGTAGAACATGTAAACCGACGCTTTCTAATGCATTCGTCGCGTGCGGCGAAACGGTCATTGCTGTATAACGGATACACGGTTATGAACATTCGCTCGACGTAGAATATCTGCGCAAAGTTTTCGTGCGATACTTCACTGAAAAGTCTCGTGTATCAGAGAGCCTGACTCGTTCGCGAAAATTAGGTGACTAATGGCATTCTTCAACGTGAAAACGTTTTCAATCGCTAAATATGGATAAATATAACGAGCACACAAGCTCTGGCGAATGTTAATTCGTATGCAAATGAAACTAAATGTATAATTATCGTGTAAAGGCAACATTGCAATATCGCATTTCTACTTTCTCTTACGTGGGATTAATTTTTAAATTCTACAGACTGTCGACAAATTACACATTCATACAATTGTTCTTTTATACCATTCTGATATTAAATATATACCTCTAATTTGTAAATATACATTCTATGTTTATAAGATTAATAGTTTCGAATTTATCGAAAACGTGTTGGATTTTTCAAAATCGCGAAATTAAAAATAAAAATTCGCGTTACTTTGTTTCTCGAGATAATGCCCAAGTAGCTGGTGGGAAAATATCATCGAGAGCCAAGGCGAGTCAACGCGTTACTTTTCCAACTCGTAACAGACTCCGGCGGAGAATCCGTCGAGATCAATCACTGATCTTCTCTCGGACCTCGAGGACGAGGTATCCAATACGCTCTTACGTGCGCCTATAGACCGTCCAAACAAGTCCATTTTCAACCGAAAGAAAATTGTCGAGAACAACTTCGTTGGTCGAACATAGGAACCTCTTCGAA